CTGTTTCGTCGAAGTTTCACCGACTCATCAGGAGGCTGAACCCTCAACAGTCTTCAGAATCCCCCTAAGTGATTACACTACAGGAAAAATTTTGAAATGTCCCTGAAGTTTGCGTTTATTTGCGGCGTGCCCCACTGATGGATGACTTACCTTGTCGCGCCCCTCTGACGACGAATGATGTTTCCATAAAACCCATGGCGTCGTTTGGGCCTGGAACATGTTTCATATGCCCCTATCGGTACCAGTACCAAATTTTCGGTATGCCCCTACCAGATGGCCGTTGAGAACCAGCACAAAAGTTTCTCATATGCCCTTATTGGTATCGTCCATCTTTCCAGCAAGCCCCTGTGGCCGTTGTTGACACTCGCAGTCTTTCCCCTAGCCTCGGGAGAGATGTTACCGGGGCATATCAGAAATTTGGCGATGAGCATGGACACACACACACACACACACACACACACACACATACACACACACACACACACACACCACACATACACACACACGCGCACACAAACGCACACACACACACACACAGACAACACACACACATATACAGACGCGCGCGCGTGCATGGTCAATGACGCCAAGAAGACAGTCATGGTGATGGTTAGGAGGTCGACAATCGAGGAGGAGGAGAGGGAGGGGTCACAAGGAGAAAGTTGGAGGAGTGAAGAACGAGGGAAGAGGATGGAAGCGGAGTAGGGAGGACAAAGACTACGATGATGACGGATGAGGATAGAGGACAGAGGCTGGAGGAGAAGAGAGGAGTGCCACGAGCATGGATGGAGGAGGAGGGAGGAGGGCGATAAGCATGGATGGAGGAGGAGGGAGAAGGGCGATGAGCATGGACAGTGTCACACACACACACACACACACACACACACACACACACACACACACACACACACACACACACACATACACACACACACACCGAATGACTAAAAAACGAATCACAAACACCTTCGATTCGTCATTTATATACCACTTGTCCTCAACAACTAAACGAAAAGATGGTGCGAACACACGCACACACACACACACATGCGAACACACACACACACACACACACACAATCAATTTTATGTCTGTTAGTCCTTCTGTTGTATGTCCTCCCCTTGATTTTTTCAAAGTCTTTTTGTGTGCCCAACTGAGCACCCTGAAGTAGTGCCAAACAGTCAGTGGTTACTCGTTTGGAGTGCCTACTGCACTCTTATGGGGGCTGCTCGGTTCGAGATGTCTGTGTTGCCTGTCGGTGATGACGGATGCTCGTTGGAGTGACTCCCTGGCTCAGTGGGTGGTGGGAACCAGCAGTCTGCGGGGTTCTATCGTGATGTGAGTAGGTCATGTGCTGCTTTGCTCCGTGTTGGATGTGTGGACGTCCTCGACTGCGCTCCACCACTGCCCTGCTGCCTGTCCCACTTGCTTAGTGTGTGGTTCTTTGCGGGTTGATGTGTTCACTGTGCGGTGTGGCCGTGTTGTTGGTGTTGCCTTGCGCTTCGCTGCTCCACTGCCGTGCTGCTCATCCGTTGGTCGTGCCTTCCGTGCTTACCGCTTGTGTTCCTTGTAGGTTGGTTGCCTTGTTGCTGGTGCCTTGTGCTCCGCTCCACGGTTGCCCAGCTGCTGGTTCACTTGGCTTGTCGTCCCTTGCAGTGTTGTTGCCTTGCTTGTGTTGCCTTGTGCTTCACTACACGGCTGCCGGATGCGTGCCATGTCGTTCCTTGCACTCGTTTTTGGCGTTGTGCAGCCGTGTTGCCTCTACTGTGTTGCCTGGTGCCTCACAGGATTGCTGCCCGTTGCTATGTTCCTCTTGGGGACAGTCTGCCTTCAACATAGGTCAAAGGGTTCATGACCCAAACCATCAAATACGGGGATTCCGCAGATTGTCGAGGGTTCAGCCTCTTGATGAATCGGTGCAACTTTAACGAAACAATCTACTATGTTTTGTTTTTTTTCGCTTTGTCTTTTTGCTGTTTGTTCTCTTGTCTGCCTTGGTGTCTTGTTGTCGGGCTGTTGTTCTTTTCTTGCTGAGTGTTGTTTGCCTGCCCACGTAAGTGCTGTTTTGCGTAAAGGTCGGTAATATCATGGTTTGTGTGCTGTTTTTGTAACCTGAACATCTGTGCATGTTGGATGCGGAATGGTGGTGAAACCTTGGTATTGTCTTTTTATCCTTCGTCCATCATCTTGCGTTGCATGAACCCTAAGGATACGGTGCGACTCCTTCCATGGTGTTGTTTTGCAGCGCAATTCGTGATGCAACATGTTGTGACACGTTCACAGAAGCCACGCAATAAAAACGTAACACACACAAATATGCAGATGCACGCACATGCATGGGCGATGATGCCAAGAAGACGGCCATGGTGATGGTTAGGAGGTCGACAATTGAGGAGGAGGAGGAGAGGGAGGGGTGACGAGGAGAAAGTTGGAGGAGGGAAGCACGAGGGAAGAGGAGGGGAAGAGGAGTAGGGAGGACAAGGACTCTGACGATGACGGACGAGGATAGAGGATGGAGGCTGGACGAGAAGAGAGGAGAGCGACGAGGACGGAGGAGGAGGAGGAGGGAGGAGGGCGATGAGCATGGATAGAGGAGAAGGGAGGAGGGCGACGAGCATGGGCGCACACACGCGCGCGCATGCTCCCCTTCGCACGGTAGCCGTATGCACTTCGACGCATGGATCATCAACGCGGCGAACTCAAAGACTCACTGTTGCACCGTTTTTCTGTGGCGGCGCATGAAATGCCTACCACTTCGAATTCGAATTCCTGCCGCCACTGCTGCAAGGGCATCACTGAAAGATGTGTGCCCCTCGTGAGGGCATTTCAAGGATGGACCGACGAAACGCCACCAGCGGTCCAGTAAGGGCATATCAGAAAGTTACACCCCATGCTGACAGGGGCCTGCAGAAAATTTCAGAGGCCCAAGGGGCACCACAGGGTAAGTCGGCCTTCACAGGGGAACGCTGCAAATAAACGTAAACTTCGGGGGCATTTCAAAAATTTTCCCTTACACTATATATTGATACAAACGCAAAAAAAAACAGAAAAAAAGCAAAGAAAAATAAATTCATTTTTTGTAAAAATTCTTCTTCCTTACAACTCCCCCTGTTCAGAACCTCTTCCGTACATATATATATCGTCACAAACAGAACTGCCCGGTAAACCGCAGGCAGAGAGAGAGAAGAGGACAACAAACGAGGGGCTGTGACAAACTGTTTCGTTGGAGTTTCACCGACTCATCAGGAGGCTGAACCCTCAACAGTCTGCAGAATCCCCTCACTGATTACACTGTAAATGATAATCTACCTTAACCAAAATCAAAGTAGACTATCACTCACCCACACCAGATGGAAAACTCTACAGACTGTCGGTTCACACCCCATCACAAGCCAGCAAAACATCCACGAAACAAAGAAAGGTCTGTCACAGCCAAAAAATACACTCCAGACACGCCGCTGGCACTAGAGGCACAGCATGGCCGCCTAATAACGGCCACGCCGCTCGACCTGACCGGAAAAAACCGTAGCAGGAAGCTAGCGAAGTCGTAGTATATATCGTCACAAACAGAACTGCCCGGTAAACCGTAGGCAGAGAGAGAGAAGAGGACAACAAACGAGGGGCTGTGACAAACTGTTTCGTCGGAGTTTCACCGACTCATATATATATCGTCACATATATATCGTCAAACAGAGCTGCCTGGTAAACCGTAGGCAGAGAGGGAGAAGAGGACAACAAACGAGGGCCTGTGACAAACTGTTTCGTCGGAGTTTCTATATATATATCGTCACAAACAGAACTGCCCAGTAATCCGTAGGCACAGAGAGAGAAGAGGACAACAAACGAGGGGTATATATATATATATCGTCACAAATATATATATATATGGTCAAACAGAACTGCCCCGTTAACCTTAGGCAGAGAGGGAGAACAGGACAACAAACGAGGGGCTGTGACAAACTGTTTATTTATATACTTTTGGCCCGGCCGGGCAAGTGGTCCCGTGCCACTCTGGTAGCCTAGGTTTTGACCTCATTGGAATCGACAACTTAGGGGCTCACTCCACTACTCACCACATGCACAAAAGACAAAAAATGTGGCGGTGTATCTTCCCATGTTCTAGCGGATGATTCGTTTGCATTTTGCTTTGGTGAGTAGTGGAGTGAGGCCCTCAGTATCGTACACCTGTGCAGCCAGCAGAGCCATCCTCCCGACCCTCCAAAGATACCTCCCCTTTTGGGCCTTTTCTACGTTCCATAATGCATCCATAAATGTGTTTGGTTCAACAAGCCTGCTGTCTTACCCCGAACACAACGCACCCTCATCATGACTGTATCAGACCAGAAACATAGTTTGTGTCATTCGCCAACAGGGTGCCTTATGTTGGGGGAAGACTGTCACTCTCCCCAGGTGCTAGTGGTGTCTGCTCTTATCAGCATCACTAACACTGGTGGGGATGTTTTTCTTAAAAAAAGAAAAAAAAAAAGAAAAAAAAAAGACTGTCACTTAGATGCGACACCCATGAACTGTTGAAATACAGACCCGTGTTCAAACGCAGGTGCAACCAGATGAACAAAACAACGTAATGCTGAATTACCTGGGGCCAGTCAGTTCAATCAATGATCATATCTCAAGGGTGTCCCCTTTCTAAAAAAATGAGGAAAAAAAAAGGAAAAGTGAATGCGTGGGCAAACATACAAAATTTCCCGCAGCAGATATGGCAGTTCAAAGTTGAACTCTTTTTTTTTTTTTTTTTTCCCAATGGACCGGGAGTCAGATACTAACCTCGTCAGAACTGATGCTACCACTTTTTTTGCCAAAAATCCACTCTGAGTCAGCTATTCGAGGAAAAAAGCAACTGCCAAAAAAAAAGAAAAAAAGAAAAAAAAAGCAATTGCAGCAGAAGCTCCCCTCCATTCATAACATCGACTTACAAAACCAGTTTTTTTTTTTTTTAATTCAGTACAACTCTCAGAGATTTACAGACACAGATATTCACTCTACGTTTAAAGTTCAAAACTTCAACAGAACGCATGCTTGACCCCTCCGCACTGACATCAAAATCAAAATCAAAATCAAAATCAAAGTCAAAGTCAAACTCAAAATCAAAATCAAAATCAATGTCCAATCCCTACCATTCAAAGTTCGAACCGCGCCGGATTGAAAATTCAGACAGATTCACTCTCATTCACACCAAGTCTTGCTTTTTTTTTTTTTTTTTTTTCCTTCTTTTTTTTAACAAAACGCCGGCCCTGGTCTTCTAGGCGAGTAGGCCACACCATGTCTGGCTAGCTTACATCAAACAGGTAATCAGTCACACGAGCTTGATCGCAAGCTCTCTACGTCGAACTCGTTCATCATCATTGTCGATTCATCATCATCATAGACACACACCACCTGTCGATCTTTATGTGCGGTTGGTCCACCTCACAGTGCAGATCAAAATGCAAGAAAGGAGGGAGCAAAATAACGTTTAATTAATTCTAGACTTTTGATGTTTGACTGTGTAATATGCAGCAGCCATGGTTGCATCTTTAATTCATCTCCGTCATGTGACACAGATTATACGCTGAGCACAAAGCAGAGCTATGGCTGCTCAACCAAAGTCCTTCCCCCGCTTGCCTTTAACTTCAAAAGACTAGGCTCCGAACGAATAAATTGGACAGCCAGGATGAATCCGTTTCACGCACCAGAAAACGAAAGCCCTATGTAGGCCGGTACTTCCCGGTGCCACAGCTCAACTACGAACTCTCTAAACTACCAGCCTGAAGTCCTACAGACCGGGGTTCAAAACCCGGCAGCTGGAATACAAAGAAAGCAACCCCCGCGGCCCATTCTGCCCTGCGCCACAGCTTGCGCACCAACTCGCTAGACTACCAGCCTGAAGCGAACCACAGTCTCCTACTCATCAGGGATAAAATCCCAGGAACACCCACTTCGACAGCAAAAACGACGACAACAAAGCGTGGTCAGGCTGCGCCCAATCTAAACCCAGCGGCTGGACTACAAAGAAAAAACACTCTATCAGCGATCAAATCCCGGGAACCCCCACAACGACAGCAAAGCGAAAACAACAGAGTGTGGTCAGGCTGCACCCAATCTAAACCCAGCGGCTGCACTACAAAGAAAAAACACTCATCAGCGATCAAATCCCGGGAACCCCCACAACGACAGCAAAAGCGACAACAACAGAGTGTGGTCAGGCTGCGCCCAGTCTAAACCCAGCGGCTGCACTACAAAGAAAAAACTAACTAAGATTCAACTGAGTCCTACTCACCAGGCATTGAAGCCGAGCAGCCACAACCACAGCAAAAACGACAACAACGCGGTCGGGCTGCATGCACCCAGCTCTACCTCTCCCTTTGCCTCAGCTTCAGGTACTCTCAAAACATAAATACAGTTGTAATACGATCTGAAGAACAGAGGAACGATGAGAATGGCAGCAGCACCCTAAGCTTCACAATGTGTACAGCCGAAGAACAAAAGAGCAGTCGCCGCAAAACATAGAAAAACTTAGAAAATCTCTCTCTCTCTCTCTCTCTCTCTCTCTCTCTCTCTCTCTCTCTATATATATATATATATATATATATATCATACAGCTAGCTATGTACAAGGTAGAAAAACCCGTAGTTTTCTGCTGTCTTTCATATTTCGGTCGCATCCACTCCGGGATCCAAGGAAGTTGTTCCCTCGGGCTGCGAAGAGTAAAACCTACGCCATTAGACAAATGTAACGGTCCGTTTTCATCAATGTCCTTCACGCCGTGCGGAATAAAACCTAATATGCCCTCACAATGTAAGCATCAATTTCCTTCGATCCACAGGTAGCTACTTTCTTGGAATGACAAAGCATAAATTGACAGAGAGACCAGTCTTCTGTCTAGTATTGTATCGATTACAATGTGGCATACCAGATATGCGTGAAGTGACCTGCGAGAGAGATGCAGATCGACATCTCCTTTATGGCGCCTTATGGGCACAGCATTCTCCTCTCCTTGGTGATGGTATCGTGTTCCCCCCAAGTTGTGCCAGGTTTGCTGATTGTCATCTGTAGACTTCAGCTCTCTCTCTCTCTCTCTCTCTCTCTCTCTCTCTCTCTCTCTC